CTGGTTCGATCTATTTTGGAATCTTCCGTGCTGGTATGGTGCCCGTACAACAGAAACTGGATTGACCGTATCGAGGCGGTGCATAAAATGTTTGTGCGCCTCGCTCTTCGCCACTTACGCTGGTGTGATTCGTCAAATCTTCCTCCATATGAACATCGTTGTTACCTCTATGGTTGTATGCTGTTAGGCATCGATACTCTGGAGAAGCGAAGATCCAATTTGCAAGCCATCTTCGTCGCTAAGGTAATGACCAATGAAATCGATGCCCCAGATATTCTTGCTGAATTGCACGTATATGCGCCGCAAAGACCTTTGAGGCAACGTAATTTCCTGCACCTTGCTACCCGGAACAGCCGTTATGGTCCACACGATCCTATCAGGATAATGTCTTCTCGGTTTAACGATGTTAGTGGACAATTTGACTTCAATGTTTCTGCTGCCACTTTTCAACGCCGCCTCAATGCACAGCGGTGAGTATCTGTCCAATCACTGCTACTTCGAAAGTGTGTATTACCTGCTGTTTTTTTCTACAACACTACGCCGAGTTTCCAACCCTCCGACGTGTGAGCTGCGACGCATTTGCAGATTGTTGTGTTCAATTATTTTAGATTATTGACTTAGCTTTTAATATGTTTGTCATTTGTATTCATTTGTATTCAACGTATTCTGTGTATTGACTATTTGTAATTTTATTTATTGTTATATGTATGAAAAGACATGGGGTTTTTACGCCTCTTTGAGCCAACTGAATGGTTTACTCAAAGAGGCTTTTCCCCATCCTAGATTTCATTAAGACTGAAAAAAGTCAGATGAAATAAGAATAAAATAAATAAATAAATAAATAAATAAGCTAACTGAAGCATCCTTTGAAACGTGGGAAAATCCACGAAACCCACAAACTCTGTCAAATGTATAAGGCGAATCAAAACAAACACAGATTCTAGTACGATAATGGGGTCAAAATTCGAACAATCGATTATCTGTCAAAGCCATAGGAAAAGTTATTCCAATCGAGCGGAAGACATCTTTTAAATTGATAAGATGTTGTCTCTTTATAAATTCAGGCTCTTTACTTTGGGCCTATGGGCTATAATCATGTAAAGGGTCAATTTCAAATCGTTAGTTTCGTATTGATGGTTGATAAAACTACGGACTTTGATCACGAAAAATGTGAAATGTGAAAACAAGTCAGTTTGTCCCATCAAGCAAAGTAATCGCATATCAGTCCCATCCTGAAATTCAATCGTCCAGAGGTCAAGTTAAGGTTCTACTTTTTTAATTGCCATATTTTTCGCTGATATAACAACCCTAATAAAAATTGTATGGTTATTTTGCTTAACACGTCGGAACACGTCGGGTATCATTCAAACCATTTGTGAAAAAGTTCGACTATTTGGGTTATCGTTCGTTTATGGTATTTGTTTACTAGGGAAAACATGCAAGCTTCATCGCAACTGCTAACCGTGCCTGCACCATATTTGACGCGTTCCTGACTTACTGGTCTATTTTTTATCGCATCTCAATTTTGACAATATATTTTTTTAAACTTTTTCAATCTCCCTAGAGCACCGGAACTATTTTTTTCAAAAATAATTATTGAAAATAGTCGAATATTATTGAGTGCGTCAATTTTAAAGATTGAATTTATCAGTTTAGAAACCGCTTCGAATATGGTTCCTCCACGACAGGGCCCCACAAAGTCACATTCAATCGAAAATCGTCAAGCGACGATGAAGCTGTCTTCTCTTCGAGCAGATCCCCGTCAACATCAACAGAACCACTTTCGATCAGTTTTCATGCTGTTTGTTTTGGCTTGACTCGTGTTCATTTCTACTTTCAATGTAAAATGAACTTACGTTTGCATTGAAGCGAAGCTGTTTGATTCAAATTCGTGTAGTTTTTATGACTTTTGTTGATTGTTCACTCGGTTCATTATTTAAGCGTATGCGCATAGATCTGTACACGTGGATGTCAAATTTATGATTGTCGGGTGGTTTGTTTACCCATCAATATGGGTATTTTTTTTAATCGGGGTGACGTCTAGAGATCGAAAATTGATATGCGACGCCATTTTGAAATCCAAGATGGTGGCTTTCAGTTTAAGAAAAAGTGGGAAATGCTGTCAAATACTTATAAATAAGGGTATTTTTGGAATCGGGATGATGTCTAGAGAATGAAAATCGATATCCAACGCCATTTTGAAATCGAAGATGGCGGCTTCCGATTTACGAAAAAGTGGAAATACAGTCAAATACACATCAATAATGGTATTTTTGTAATCGGTATGAAGTCTACAGATCGAAAATTCATCTGCGACGCCATTTAGAAATCCATGATAGCAGCTTGCGATTTCAGATTAAGCGGGAAATACTGTCAAATGCCCATGAATATAGGTATTTTTGGAACCGGGATGGCGTCTAGAGGCTGGAAATCGATATCCGACGCCATTTTGAAATCCAATATGGTGATTGGAAATCAATACCCGACGCCATTTTGTAATCCAAGACGGCGGCTTCCGATTTGCGGAAAAGTGTCAAATATCCTAAAATATGGTTATTTTCATAATGGGGATGAGACGTAGATGCCGAAAATTGATGTCACGATTGCGGCTTTGGTTCAGAAAAACTGTGAAAAACAGTCTAATACCGATCAATGTGGGTTTTTCGGAGTCGGGCTGACATCTAGAAGCCAAAAATCGATGTCCGATGCCATCTTGAATTTCAAGATGGTGGCTTCCGATTTCCGAAGAAGTGTCAAATAGCCTTTAAATGGTATCGAATATCGATTTTCAGCATCTACGCGTCGTCCTCGTTCCAAAAATATCCAGAATTTTAGGGTATTTGTCACTTTTTCTGAAACCCTATGGCCGCCATATTGGAGTCCAACATAGCATCGGATATCGATTTTTGTCTCCGTTCCGAAAATACCCATATTTTAGGGTATTTGACACGTTTTATGAAACTTGATGACCACCACCTTGGATTCCCAAATGGCGTCGAATGTCGATTTTCGGCATCTACGCGTCGTCCCCGTTCCGAAAATACCCATATTTATCCTACACTTGACACTTTCTGAATTCTGATGGCCGCCATATTGGATTCCAACATAGCGTCGGATGTTGATTTTTGTCATCTACGCATTGTTCCCGTTCCGAAAATACCCATATCTTCGAGCATATCTTAGGGTATTTGACACTTCATAAAACCAATGGCCACTATCTTGAATTCCAAAATAGCGTTAGGTATCGATTTCCAGCATCTACGCGGCATCCCCGTTCCGAAAATATCCTATTGTAGGGTATTTGACACTATTTCTGAAACCCGATGGCCGCCATTTTGGATTCCAAAATAACGTCGAATATCAATTTTCGGCACCTTCACGTCGTCCCCGTTCCGAAAATACCCATATTGTATAGGGTATTTGAGACTTTCCCTGACCCCGATGGCTCCCATCCTGGACTCCAGAATGGCCTCGTTAATTTAATTTTCGTTTAATATAAAATAATAAATTATTACCTGATGCCTGCGTCGTCAGGTCGTGACTAGTCGAATGAGCCCCGAATTGAAGTGAAAGTGAAAAAACGAAGGAAGCAGTTTTCGAGTCATTCATTGCGTCAATTGAAACAAGTCTTTGCTTCAAATGAAATGAACTGAAGCACTTGACGAACGAAACAAGTGATAGTCCAGTCATGTTTGAAAAGAGGAATTTTGTCTGTGGAGGAATGTTCATCGTGACTCGATAACAAGAAACACGATGACTTACACGAAAAAAAGTTCACGATGACTTACACGAGAGTTCATTCACCGACAAACCGACATGAATGACAATAGTAAAAACAATAAAATTTCTGACCAAAGCACACTACTGACATCTGGCTCCGTGTTCGCGGGAAATATTAAGCTAAGCCATGAACCCGCATCCAAAAGTTATGAATTGGTTCGTTTCTGATCTATTCTGGACAAATTATTATTACCTGGAATGTTCTTTTGAGTGATCTTTATACAATTTTCATTATTATCATATGTTATGGCTAATTTTAGAGCATTTTGTTTTAACTAACATTGGTGGCTCGTCAGAGTTTACGAAATCTGGAATTTTCACGTCCGTCGCGCTTGTGAACCATTAGAGATAGATAGAACACGTTGCTTCTAATGAGTTGTTCTACATCTTTGTCGAAAAGTTTGGATCTATGCAAATAATTTAGTAAGTGCTTCCTATGTTAATGTGTTCTAAATATAAACATTTGAGTTATTCGAGATAGATCGTTACAATGCAAGACAACGGTGCAGAATAACTCATTTGAAGCAACTTAGCAACAGGGCGAATCGGTTTTGCTATAGTAACATTTTATACATTGCTTTTTCGTATAGTACATGTTCTAGACCAGTGGTGCTCGGGCCCATTTTTTCAATAGCTTAATTTTGCGTATTTCCCCGCGGGCCAAACATTGGCCATGACTGTTCTAGACACTTTTTCAAAATTTTATAGCGCCCATTTTGACTGAGCGTGCTATCTCTTTTTGTTGGAAATTTACGAACAATTTTCATAAAAAATACGCCCTGTTCATTGTTTTTGTAAATTAAATTTGTTAAACAAAAATGACCATCACACTTTTATTTCACCATAGATAAATAAAATTGTGTTCTTTTAAATGCAACTAATAAATAACATAAAAATGATTCAATACCATTCCTGCACCTTCCAGTATAGATTAAAGCCCTACAGTAAAAGTATGGACGTCTGTCAAAAGTTGTTCCAATCGAACCGTCAAAATGCACCGCTTTGCTCGATTGGAACAGCTTTTTTCAGTTTTGTGGTGTCAGTCGTCCATACTTTTACTGTAGGGCTTTAGTATAGATAGGAATGCATAAGTATGAGAAATGCATTTCCTTTAGGGCAGCTCTAGAACTAAATTTAAATTGATACCCAAATATAAGCACAGTTCAAGGTTGTCAAGGTGGTGTCAACAAACTCCTTCCATAAATACCTGCACACGGAACCGTCGGATAGACACCAACCCACCCGCACGAGCGGATACTTCTGCGCGCTAAATTCAACTTCGCGTGCCTGTCCATCTAGAAATGCGATGTATCCAAGGGAACCAACGGTAACTGTTTATCAGTTCCAATGCAGCAAACCGGAGGGAACCTTGCCCGTGTGAGCCTGACCCGTACGACATTGTGGCTCTGAACTTGATACAGATTGCCCTGTTTTAGTAATTAGTCCAAGGATCCAAAAAATAATAATGCTCACCAAAAAGGAGAAGCTACTGATTCGCCCATGGCAGATGCAACGCTACTACAACCATCGGATCAAGGTGGAGACCGCGGTACCGGCAATCGATTTCCATCCACCTCCAGCCCGAGCCCACATTACGCAGAAGTTGAAAAAGGTACAGAAGGAACGCGAACGGACCGAAAAGATTGAGAGGGACAATATTCGACTGCTGCAACGCTTGGGAGCAATTATGAGCAAGAAGCGCTTGGATAACATCTGGACACACGCTAGACCCAAGTAGGTATCCAGATCATGATTCATTTTGTAATTATTTACAAAAGAACACTTTACTTCCAGCTTTCTCAGCAGGGAATACATCTATCCTATACGTCCGAAAACGACCGGAGGAATGCCGGCCGAACACGAACACCGCCGTCGATCTTCCATAAGACCATTGGATGACGCCGGACCGGAACCGGAAAGTCCAGAATCTTCATCGGCTCGTCCGATTCGCTGCAGCGCCTGTAGCAACCGGTCTTACAAACCAAACAAAGTCGTTCCCGAGGAGCGAATGCCATGGGCACCCCAAAGGAAAACCACCAACCGAAAGCTGCTGAACGAAGCAGAATCCGAGCCGCACGTATGCTGTCGGTTCTGCTGCTGAATATTGCTATTCGATGGTGGGGATCCAATTCCTAAAACAAAACGGTAATATACATTTTAAGGTAAGTCGAGAATCACTATTGTTTGTAAACAAATTTTGTAACTGGTTGGTCCCAACAAATTCGTGTGAAATAAAACCCAATAAATATTTTCTGGAGACGTTCTTTTCTTCCATTCAGAAACACTTGCAACATCCGCCCTTCTTTGTTTACAATCCTTTTTGTATTTTCATCACCTTCGCTTCGATCTACTTACAAGAAATAAGATAATTAAACACTGATCCAGCCCGCCCTACTTCAGTGGAATGAAACGGGAGCTGTGGGTGGCACCAATACCGGGCCTACCGTGCTTGACGGGTTTGTAGGTCAGCGAGAACTCACCAAGATAGTGACCGATCATTTCAGGCTTGACTTCCACCTGGTTGAAGGTCTTACCGTTGTAAATACCAACGATCGATCCGACCATCTCCGGGACGATGATCATGTTGCGCAGATGGGTCTTGACGATAGCTGGCTTCTCGTTTGGTGGAGCATTCTTCTTGGCCTTGCGGAGCTTCTTGACGAGAGCCATCGGCTTACGGCGAGTGCCGCGGTTCAGCCGCCGCTTGGCACGGCTGTGCATCAGCTCCATCAACAAATCCTGCTTCATGTCCAGCAGCTGGTCCAAATCCACCCCGCGGTAGGTGAATTTACGGAACGCACGCTTCTTCTTAACTCCCTCGGCTTCAGTGGTGTCCGCCATGGTTACAAAGTTACGGATTTAATCCGAAAAATGCGAAAATAGCAACGAGTATCTCACGCGACACTACGTCCTCACACAAGATGTGGAAGAGAAAAGAGAGTTTGACAACCGTTCTGTTGCGGATGTAGCAATGCGCGTTTTTTGACATAAGGAGCGGGATTTCGGTAACGGATTCGACTTTGCGTTTCAGAGTTTCAGTAAAGCGGATTTACACTTGAAGAATTCTGCATGTCAAATATTTTAACGTATACACGGAAACCGTGGAGATTGGATATTAAACGCTGTCCAGACTGGAGAGTTATAACATGTTATAACGGTTGTCAAATAATTGCAACACAGAAACCACCATCAAGATAGCGCTATAACATGTTATAATTCTGTAGTCTGAACTAAAGAGCCTGAATTTATAATGAGACGACATCTTATCCATTTGACAGGTCTTCTGCTCGATTGGAATGACTTTTCCTATGACTTTGACAGACAATCGATTGTTCCAATTTTGACATGTCGCCTCTTTATAAATTTAGGCTCTTTAGTCTGAACGTACTATTACTTTTGTCCCCCAAGCTTGTGTCTGTGCTTATAGAGATTGCTACACTGATAAAACTGCAAAGATTTTACTTATGTGATTTCACACATAACATTCATAAATTTTAAAAATAACACATGAACTTCATGTGTTTTACATATGCCAACTATGTGTATCCCAAATGAACGTCATGTGTAATGGCACATAGCAAAAAAATATATGTGTGTGCACACATAAAACAAATACACAGCAAAAAAATGTAATATCGATCAATGTAATTCAAGCTGATGTATGAAATAATGATGTAATAGCAAAAAGCAGATACAATATTACATCAATGGATGTAATTTTGTTCACAAAACGATAAACACCGTACAACGTTATATTACACAACCGATGGATTGACCTGGTTGCAGCAGTTTGGATGTAATATTCAACATCTTTTTTTTCTGTGTATGGTGTATTTCAAGGTGAAGACCGAACACTGTTTTTAAAATGTCGAGGTTGCAGAACCGGATGCATGTTCGGGTTTTCCAGAGGATCAATTGCATATTTTTGAAGGTAAATATGAGCAAACATTCTTGAAACGTATACGTATATATGTATAATTCTAGATAGAGCTGGAATTAGGGCGTAACAGCTTTTGTAAACAATGACTTCTCTCGATGATTTCTCGGAAGCCATGGCTCTCCCTGGTAAATCGTCATCACTATCGAGTAGAGGAAGACTTCTCCTTCCCGATGGATATGTTGGTTTGTATAGGCGTGCCTTGAATTCCGAGTAATCAACGAGAGAAGTCATTGTTTACAAAGGCTGTTACGCCCTAATTCCAACTCTATCTAGAATTATAATATTTCAAGGAACAGCTGAAATCTAGCCGGCGGGAAATGTAGGTGCTGCCCGGTCAAAACACGGAACCGAAGCACTGCAGCAAAACGCACCAGCACCGGATCCATGACGAGCAGTACACATGGAATAGGAATCAACAAGCCGTACGTTTGATTTCTCCCCACGTCATCAGCGGCGTGTGATGCTTCTATCTGAAAAGTGTAGGCACGTGTAGGTACTGAAACAGGACATCACTGAAAACGCTAAGCTAGTTAGTATCATCCGGAGAGTTTGGAAATGCTGCTAAACCAACTCGGTACATACTGAATCGATTGGCAATGCCCGAACACAAAGGCATCCGCTGTAAAGGAGCGATAATGTTTTCATTGCGGCGAGCATTGTGGTGTATTAATTCATTACCTGTAACGATTAAGAAAAAATATCTGGTACTGTTTTGAATTTCGAGTATTTATGATACTGTTAAAAAATAAAATCCAAAAATTTCAAAATAATCGACAATAAAATGTATGAATAGACAAATTAAATCCATCTTTCACTAGCCATAATGTTTATGTGTGACCTAGTGTGTGACCGAGTGTGTGACCACACATATAATTAAATGAATGTCGATTGAAAGCAATTTATGTGTCTCACACATAAATTTTATTTGTGCAATCACATTGCAAAAATCTATGTGTGTGGCACATAAACGAAATATGCACAATTGTATCAGTCTAGAGTGTGATTGTGTCAGTGATTTGTTTTCATCTGGAATTTGTTTCGCTATGAAGTTGTTTTTCCCGCTGAAAATATTTTGCGTATACGAATGTGTGTTGTTGGGTGTCGGAAGGTGTTTCTGGGTGTTTCTGGGTGTTTTTTCGTGTCGACGAAAAAATAAATTTATTGGCAATCATATATCGTCGACCATTGATCTTTTTGACGTTTATATCACGCACACTTGAGTGATCTCATTTTCAAATGCAAAGTTTATTATCCTCACTTTCGTTCCATCCAAAAATGTTGGTTTGTTTTGTTATCCTCACTTTCAAACCATAAATAGGGTAGAGAACTACTTCGGCCTAATCGCCCATTTTGGGCCTATCGAGCAGAAAACTTCAAATAAATCCATGATTTCAGAGTAAACAAGTCAATTATGCGTTTGGTACGATACTTTAGTTAATAAGCTACCGAACGAAGTCAATGAGAACGCGTGATATGAAGATTTGCACCCATTATTCTCAAAAACAAAAAAAGCGCTCCGACCGAATCAATTTTTATATTCATCCGATAGGCCGAAGTGAATTCATTGGCATTTCAATGGCGTTTCAATGCGTTAGGCCGAGTTTAGAATCCGTAGGCCGAGTTTGGCATCAAGAAGCAGTGTTAGACTTTTGACAATATCTCAACGATTGGTTGCTCTTTATCAAATCTTTTGGTACGTACGGAAAGGTAAATAAATTTGGAAGCCATCAGTAACAATAACATTCCGTTTAGTGCTAAACTGCGCTAGATTAAGAAAGACTAAGTGCGGGTTGTGCTTAATAGGCCGGAAATGGGGTATTTAACCCTACTTGCGCATAATATGCAAATGGACAATAAATATAACACTGAAAATGACAGATTGCCCTACGGCTTCTCTGATGTTTGTTTAATGAAAAAGCACAACCAGCGTGAGGATTTTTTGAAGCTAATTCGACCGCAGCCGATGGGCTTTCGGAGTGATATCTGGAAAGGACCGCCAGCTATATCACGGGCATTGGCCCTCTCGCTGCAGGAAGAAGACGAATGGGCACGTGCCACCCGGGAAGAAAGATCAAGCAATGGATGCAATCATACCCGCAGTAGAATCCAGTCGGTGGCAATAGTTTCAACTCAAAGTGCAAAATTTGCAATCAATTGGTGGGTCCGTGAACCTAAATAGAATTGACAGTCAGTAACTGTTCCGTTGCGGATTTCTTGGTTTTTTTAAAGACATCTTTACATGTTTTAGCAACTATTCCTCCTGATGCTGCTGCTTTCGTGTATCCTAACCGGGTTCGTATTTCTTTTTCTTCGGATGGGAGGTTTTCAAATCAAACCAAGAATGTTTCTCTTTCCCGGCAGGACGGTACGATAGTTTTTAAAACATTTGCTTATCATGGGTGTTTTTCTGTGTGTGTTAGCATTATGTGGCAGAGTGACTTACCCCCTGTCGTTTGCTGTCATAAAGCATTGCTTTGCTGATCATGATCCAGCAATCCGTTTTACTGAAATCTTATACCCCGTTCACATTACAGCTTATCTTTACGTGGAATATATCGCGAATCATTAATTTACAGGAAACCTTTTCGCGATATATTCCACACAAAGATGATCGATGTTACAAAACCATCCATGGACCATACTGACTACCATAACCATTACCATTAAAGTTCTAAAACCATAAGTAAAAAGGTTCTAATATAGTTTTCTTTCCGAAAATCTATGGAGAAAACAAGAATTTTGAATAATGGTAATCGTTCTTAACATTATTATTTGTAAGGTTCACTTCCAAAAAACATAATACATAAGAGTTCGTATGAATAAAAGCGTTTACTTTACTTTTCCCGTAAGAAAAGCGCGGGGAAGTAAAGTAAACTCTTTTTATTCATACGGCCCAAGGTTAAAACTTTATTACACAAACGAAAAACTTTTTCAGACAAGCGTTCGTACCAAAAGTGTTTCGTTTAGAGATGCGCATTGTGGCCCCTGTTTGCAGCAGTTTGGCTTGGGTATTACACCCAACAACTTGTTTTACTGTGTAGTGGGTTATTCTGGATCTCAACTGTATCACACTAAGATTTTGTGTCCGTGTTCGGTAAATTTTACCGAAATCAGAACAGCTGAACGTTCGGCAAAACTTTGACCTTCATTTTAAAGGCTATTGAATTTGAAAATAAATTTAAAACATGTCCAACCTTGCCTAAATGGTTAAATAATCTTGTCATTTTAGTAGAGATTTAGTTTCAAAGTAGCTGAAAAGCAATTGAATTGAATTGCATCATATTTGCCGAACAGCGATAATTTAAGTGTGACCGATAATAAATTTGCTGATTAGCCATTTAGTTTTTCTCCCGGTGCATAATCGAGATTGCGCGTTTCCTGATTTCCGCTCCCGGAGCGATGTTTTGCTGCAAGGGCCAAACGCAAACTTCGATCCCATCGGCCGTGGGAACTGTCAAACTCTTTTTTTGACAGCAGCATCACTCATTCATCGCGGACGAAACTTCTCGCGAGCAGCACCATCATCAGCAAATAGCGAGCAGTAGAACGACACAACGTGAAAAAAGGAAAAATCCTCGGTGCAGCGCGAAAAGAGTGACTTTTCTTTTGATTTTCGGCGCTTAAAGTGATCCGAGTGCGTACGTGAACGTCCAAAGTACAACGGGACGCGATATTTTCCAACCGATACGAAACGGACCATTGCGTGCGGGATCGAAGTTTAGGGCTTTTCCAGTGGGTGCTCCGGGAAAAAGGATTCTTTCGCTTGACGACGACGGTCGATCTCCGCCGTGGTGGTGAGGGAGAGTTGTTAATCATCAATCGCGCATACACACACGGACGTACACCAACACACGCATTTTAGAGCAGCAGCACGGAGAGTAGTCGAGCAAATTGAACGAAAAATGGCGTCGATAGATTCGCAGCAGACGAAAAACCGAATGCAAGGTTTTAAAAACAAAGGAAAAGATCAGGAGGTAAGTGGATTGCTTGGTGCGTACGGTCGGATTTCCATCGGTGCGAGTTGTGATGGACATCCCGAGCGGAATCGGTGTGTAATTTGCACCTTGATTTTGTGAGTGTGCAACTTTAGAAGGGGGTGGAAATCGCTAGAATCTTACGACTCGTAGGCTCTTGCAAAGCAACCCCCATCCAGGTGGATTCCGTGGTAAATAGTTTTTCGACTACTTTTTGGGAGCAGTCCCTAGTTTGGAAGGAGTTCAGAGGCGATCAAAATTCGTGTAGGCATTATTCGAGAAATGATTATGACCTTCCGGTTGCTGCCGAAAAGAATGATGAGGTTTTTCTCGATCACCTCGTCATGTCTCACATACACTGCGATGATGATACAGGCAAAGGCAAAGATGAATGAACGCAATAGATTGCGAGCGGATGGATACGTACCTACACCATAGGAAAAATATGGACAGGCAACAACAAAAAAGAAGATACATTCGAACGGAGGAAGACCTTGATCCGGCTGACTTCAGAACAGTTCAGAATTGGCACAGTGATGGACAGTCATTGCGAAATGTGGTTTCGAAGTTTTTTTTTTCAGCGATATCCTTGGATGTTGCGTGTTAAATTTCTTGTTAATGGAAGAAGACGATATTCGATAAGCAGTTTAGCTCTAATATGAGTTTTATTGGGTTTATGCGGAGACAAAGGCTTGGTGATAGGTCTTTACTTTCTCAGAAAGATTGTCTAAACTTTGGTTTTTGTATTCGAACGTATCTACTGCGCAATTATTAAATCGATATCCAGATGTAATTTTTTTTTAATATAAATTGTTTACCATAATTTTGACAAGTTTATTTCATGTCAACAGATATGAACATTCCTGTAAACTAACAGTTAATAGAAAGGACGGAATTTACTAATTAACATACCGTTGCATCACTTTTATTGTAATCTAATAGACCAACATTAAAACAATTGAAGCTTTTTTTAGATGTTAAAATATTAACGTGTATTCAAAAGGCTTTCAGGCACGTCCAGAAGATCATAAGAGCCAAAGAACTGGAGGATCTAATGGGAAAATTCAGTTTTACGAATTTAGAACATAATTCAAGAGAACTTCTATAAACTGGATGCCAACTTTAAAATAGGTTGATACTGCTTTTGTAAACAATTACTTCAACCGCCGATTTCTAGCGACTAAGATCTTACTCTAGCAAATAAACTGCACCAATTAACCACTTCATTTGAGCAGTTTAAATGATGTTTACTACCACTCGAACTTTGAAATAAAACATCATTTTGAGATTTTTTCTTCTAGAGCCACGAGAAAAGTATCCATCATTTGTGAGTTTCATAAACAAATAAAAAAAATTAGTTGGTCCAGTTTTGTGGAATCGCTGGTAGAAAGTCACGCCAAAACTGCTTGACAAAGTGATCAATTGACCACTTTGTCAAGCAGTTTTGGCGTGACTTTCTACCAGCGATTTCACAAAACTGGACAAACTAATTTATATTCCATATGAAACGCACAAAATGTTGGCTACTTTTCTCGAGGTTCTAGAAGAAGCAGTTCAAAATGACGTTTCCTACCACTCGAACTTTACCGTGGAACAATATTTTGAGATTGTTCTTTCTAGAACCCCGAGATAATTCACCTTTATTTACGCTAAGCTTGAACAATCTTAAAATGATTGCTCCATTTTCTTAAAATCGTTGGTCGTCTCAAAACTGCTCGACAATATGATTTGATGGTGCTGTTAGCCAATGACGTTTATATAAGGTCCGGGTCAACAGACAGGTGTTAGAAGCGAACATATTGCAAACATTACTGAGCACTCAAGTGACGACGTTACTCTGCCACAACATTCCATACTGCGAACAGTGAGATTGACGTCACTGCCAACAGCTGTTCGTGTAAAAACATTGCTATGAAATACGAACACTATTAAACATTTCGCTAAAACCATCACGCCTGCAGAGAAAGTACAGTGTTGCCAGTAACTTAAAAGCTAATGAATATTTCTTACTATGGGTGCCAAACTGTGCCAATTAATGTGCCCAACTTTGTTTTTGGCACACTGTGCGGAGTGACTAACCCCTTGGGAAATTTGCAGAACTTCAGACAAGTCCAAGAATCTACAGTGAAATATAAAGAATTTCACAGAAGTTTTGAGATCTACTGAAACATTATTGAACGTCAGAAAAGTTTGCAGAGCTTTTTTAAAAATTACAGAACTTCTGAAGAATGGTCCTAGATCTTCAGATAAATTTGAAAACCTTCAAGAAAGTGTGCATATTTTTTGATACATTTTTAGAATCTTAGGAATTTTAATGGATCTTTAAAAGGAAGCTTATACAGATACAGAACTTAAGGTAATTTAGAAGATCTTCAGGGAAATTTTCATATCTTCAGGGTAGCCCGTGAGCATACAGAGGAATTTACAAAACTTCAAAGAACTTTGCAGATCTACTGAAAAATTTATTGAGTTTTAGGGTAATTCGTAGATCTTGATAATAGAACTACGGAGCTTCAGACAACTTTACAGAACTTTAAGACGTTAGAACATTGTAGACGCCGAAAAAGGGTCAATTTCGTGATTTTTTTTTTTTTTTTTGAGAACGGAAACACAGAAACAGAAAAGAATGCAGTTTTCAGTATTTTAACCCGCTATAGTGGATTAAAGATATTTGCAGTTTTATGCACGAAAATGCGTAATTTAGTCATCAGAAAACGAGGCGTTTCCGTGATGTGAAAAAGTGGTTTCCCTAACTCAGTCGCCGGATATTGATACCGAGCATGTAATCCAACGTCAAATCTACGGTCGTGTCTTGGATACAACCTCTTACTTTTCTATGACAGTGAGTAAGCGAAATGTAAACAAAAGTAAGTATGGTAGTAGTGAGTAAAACTCACACTCCCGCCGCAATTTTTCTTCATTTATTCATGAATGAGTAAGATAGGTTTGCTCACAAACTGAGTGACTCGACTTTTTGCAATTATGAGTCGATCTGGGCTGGCCGTGTTGGGCAATCGGGAAAACTCCGGGAATTCAATTTCTTAAATTCACTGGTCACCCTGGTAACGGTTGTACCCCGTTTGGTAGGGGAAATGTATGTAATGTCGGCCTAAATGCCCCTAATTTGGGCCCATACATATATTCAGCAATCGACTAAATTTTCAATAGCGACCAAAAATATCCATTAGTACCGTCCCAATGAACGCGTTCATCTAGATAATTATCTAGAGATCTAGATAATCTAGATCCTCATTACTGCGAGAATCTTTGAGAATCTAAACTTTCTCAAAGCTTGATTGAAAACTACTGTTTTCTAATAAGTTTTGCCGGAAAACCATGTTCCAGATTGATCGTACACTACTTTGAAATTAATGAAGGCTGGAAGTTTTGATAGATACCTAATCATGCAATATAAAAGTAAAACTTCTAGATATATCCGTGGATACAATTCATCAATAATCGTTGCTGTTCGGCGGAATTTATTATTCAAATTTTAAAACACTAAACACTAAAATAATCAAGAAGTAAATAAAGATTAAAATATGCTAAACCCATAATCACGCTTAAGGACATAGTTTGGCCAAATGTTCAAAACTCCAACATCAAACACCCAAAGTCGTCACAATAGTTCTAATCTGTTGAACCTTTCCCCTCTTCCAGGAAATGCGAAGACGCCGCAACGAGGTAACGGTTGAACTACGCAAGAACAAACGCGAAGAAACCATCCTCAAGCGTCGTAACGTGCCGCAGACGACGGCCGAATCGACAGACGAAGACGACTACACTTCGCCGTCCAATTTGCGCAAACTGGTGGAGAAAGCCGGAAACAGTGCCGACAAAGATGAACAGTTGGCGGCAGTACAGGCGGCACGACGTTTGCTCTCCTCGGATCGGAATCCTCCGATCGATTCATTGATACAGAGCGGAATTCTGCCGATCCTGGTCGGTTGCCTCGAGCGAGACGATAATCAGTTGCTCCAGTTCGAAGCAGCTTGGGCTTTGACAAATATTGCATCGGGAACCTCGACACAGACTAATCAAGTTGTACGCGCTGGAGCAGTTCCGCTCTTCCTGCGTCTGCTCGGATCCCCCGCTGCCAACGTGTGCGAACAGGCTGTCTGGGCCTTGGGCAACATCATCGGCGATGGTCCCTGCCTACGAGACTACGTCATCAAGCTGGGCGTTGTTCAGCCACTGCTGTCGTTCATCAAGCCGGAAATTCCAATACCGTTCCTGCGCAACGTCACATGGGTTATCGTGAATCTGTGTCGCAACAAGGACCCACCGCCACCGGTTGATACGATTCTGGAGATCCTGCCGGCGTTGAACATGCTGATCCATCACACCGATATCAACATCCTGGTGGACACCGTGTGGGCCCTGAGCTATCTCACTGACGGAGGCAACGAACAGATCCAGCTGGTGATCGACAGTGGCGTAGTACCGAAATTGATTCCCCTGCTATCACACGTCGAGGTCAAAGTACAGACGGCAGCGCTTCGGGCAGTTGGTAATATTGTCACCGGTTCAGATGATCAGACACAGGTTGTTCTTAACTGTGACGCCCTGTCGCACTTCCCCGCGCTACTGAGTCATCCAAAGGACAAAATCCGCAAGGAAGCCGTGTGGTTCCTGTCGAATATCACCGCCGGCAATCAGGCACAGGTGCAGGCCGTCATCGACGCCGGACTGCTGCCGAAGATTATCGAAAACCTGAGCAAGGGCGAATTCCAGACGCAGAAGGAAGCCGCGTGGGCGATCAGCAACCTCACCATCAGCGGCAACCGGGATCAGGTGGCGCAACTCATCCGGGACGGTGCCATCCCACCGTTCTGCGATCTGCTGACCTGCAAGGATACGCAAGTCATTAACGTAAGTTCGCCGATTGAATCTGGTGAGGGTCGGTTGATTATGATTTAATCGATTTTTTTTTCTTCTGTTTTGTATTGCAGGTCATCTTGGACGGTATCAACAATATGCTGAAGCTGGCCGGTCCCCACACCGAGGAGATTGCCAACATGATCGAGGAGTGTGACGGAGTGTCCAAGATTGAGGTCCTGCAGAATCACGAAAACATTGAGATCTACAAACTGGCGTACGATATTATTGAGCAGTTCTTCTCGGATGATGTAAGTATGGTTTACTTGTTTTCGCTGTACAATGCCGTTATAACCACAAACTGGACTGCCAGCTGGTCAGTCGATTTGCGACCTCTGTGCACCTGAAATCCGATTCTTACCTTCACGCGGTGCCCGGTGGGGTTGCTGGCGGTGATATTTGCCGTCAGTAATGCAAACAAGAACGGGCGATCATCCTCGTCGCTAGTGTCAGTGATGATGACGTCAGAGCAAATAGATAGGTTTTAGCCAACTCCAAGTAGCTATGTTTGAGTAAAGCAAGCTTAAAAATGAAGGTCAAAGTTTTACCTAACGTTCAGCTGTTGAGATTTCGGTGAAAATTTACCGAACATGACAATGATTTCTGAGTGTGTAGGCCTGCCGGATAGTAGACAGAATAGTTCAGAATTCTCTCACCATGCGACGTCAGTGTGCATGTGAACTTCCTCTATAGGCTGCACCTGATCATGCGAACTTTTCCTAGTACGAAATTTGAGTCTGTAGGACTTGTGGACCTCAGTGTTTACTCGGCTGTCGACAGAAGCAGATCACTCTAAACCGGCAGCAACCATTGTGTGGTCCTCCTCATTGTTCTTCATCAGCAGTTCTTTCAGTCGATGCGTCGTCGACTTTGGAAAGCAAGCGTTTCGTGATGAATGTGTGAGTGCTGACCACATTTTGCGTCCATTGCTACAATGGAAGCGCTCTGACCATCGTTGGCGAATCTGCCATACAAGTAAACCACTGGAAGCAGCTTCCGTTCTAGTGTAGAGGAGGCTTATTGGATAGCGGAAGATTGTATTGTACCTTTTGACTATAGTTTTAAGATATATTGTACACAGCAAAAAAAGTTGTTGAATATTACATCGAAACTGCTGCAACCAGATCAATCCATCGGTTGTGTAATATCAAATTGTACGATGTACATCGATTTTGCGAACAAAATTACATCCATTGATGTAATATTGTATCTGCTTTTTGCTATTACATCATTATTTCATACCTTAGCTTGAATTATGTTGATCGATATTACATTTTTTTTTTTGCTGTGTATAGTGAACAAGAATCTTCGGCTCTGTTAAGTTAATTCGGTTGAGCCTTATCAAATAAATAAATTAATAAACAAGACTTGTGGACCAAGGAAACCATCGACACTCTAAGGAAGCCGTTCAAATGAAGTTTCGAAAACTCCATAATATGGAGTTATCATAGGTTTCTTCTAGATCTAGGCAAAAATTTAGAGGACAACTCGCCTGCTGGAGCCAAAACCAGATTTAAGGTGATTGTCTGAAGAGTCCACAAATACCAATTGTGGATGATGGTTGATATGCCCTATCACTTCATTCTTTCAACAACGCTCATGCAATTGGAACTTCTTGTTTGATGCACTGCAGCGAACGTGGAGTTTACATTTCGTTGTCGTATGTATATCTTGTGAGAGTCGATATTTATGCTCTTGAAATTTCAAGCAATATTTTCAGAGTTGGTGTACAGGTAGATTGAGAATAAGGCGACGCCCATGACCGGAGTTTTCGTTTTTGCGGTGTTGCTACACCGGTGCTACACCGTCGAACACCGAAAAATTTTAGGGTGTTGCTATCGGTTGCACCTTTGTTTATAAACAAATGATGATGAGCTATCAATGACTCGCGCTTATTGCTGCTTACACTACACCGGTGTAGTGTAGTGAAAACGAAAACGACATAAGCTGGTAGGGTGCACAAGTTGAATTTATCTAGGTTATAACGACGGCTTTATCTCCTAAATATCTTCGATCCTGTAGTAAGGCTTTTTATTCAAATAATGAATAAAGAACTAGCACAGCTAATGCGACATGCGGTTTCTAAACGCTTACTTTGAATATCCCATTTACAGACCGACGAAGCGGTACTGGACGAGCTGAGACCTGTGGCGGACGAGAACGCGTTCCAGTTCAATCAGAACGCGAACGTTCCCAGAGATGGATTCAACTTCTAAAGGCAAGTTAGTAAGCACACGTACACAGAAGAATTTGTAAACAAGAAGGAAATCAATCTATATCTTCCTGAAAACAACAAGAAAAAATACACCCACTTCTAAGTTGGTAAAACCACACACAACACGCCAGTCACCGACAAGTTTAAGCCGATCTTTCAAAAGTCTCACACACCGTTTCATAGAAGATCAGTTGTTTCCTCCCATGCTAGGCATTGTAGAAAGTGGGATTAAATCAGAAGCAAGCAAGTAGCAGCTCCATTAGCTGTGGAAAGCAAAGTGCAACGCTACCTAGTTGAAAAAGCAGAAACACAAAAACGGCAAGCAAACGTATGGAAACTATAGTTTTCTTAGGATTTTCTTCAAATCTAACTAAAGGATATCTATTTATTATATAATGAAGCAGCAAACAGAAAAAAAAATCAGAAAACACAAACGAAACGCTGAAAGGACAGTTTAGAAGGACTAACTGACGAACGAAACAGCAATGCCATCATCAGTCACACACACACACACACACACATACATACACTCACAAAAACACTCACCCACAAACATACATACAAAGACGCTTAAACGGGAAAGAACTCACACACGACATTATTGTTTTTTTTATAACAATTTTTCATTAATGTTCTTTTATGATAGAAATCAAAAGAAGAATTGCGAAATATAAATTTACTCGTTAGTTCCTTCTCTTCTTCGATCATCGAGTCTCTCTTAGGGAAGAGTTTTTTTTTGTGTCTCAATTTTATGCAATTGTTAGTGTTTATTAGTTTTTTTTTTATAGAAAAGCACCTTTCCTATATACTATTTAATCAAACCTGGGCTGCTTAATAGTAGAGCATCATGTGGATTAGCAGTTTTCCTCCGGTTGCCTCGCTCTCGAAGAAGAGAAGGAGGCAGAATGAGAGACACATTTTTGAATAAAGGGGGGAATCTCCATTGTGTTTTTCCTAAGTAGGTGTAGTGTGAAGTAAACACACACACACATACATAAAAGAATGAAACTGAAAAAAAGGAAGACGAAGAAGAAGAAGAAGCATTAGGGAAATGTTGCTTTTAAATCCATTTAGCAAATCAAATGGAAGGAGAAAATATTTTTTCCATGTAAAAAGGCATATTTTTTATATTGTAAACATTATACTGATCGAAGAATAAACCAATGGACTGTAATTTAGTTATTTTGTTGGGTGTAGCTCCTATTTGTTTCGCTAAGCAAAGGAGCAAAATGTAAGGAAATTGATCTTGACCGTCTCCCCTCGAAAATAATAATTAGGGAGGGTGGGATAACAGCAAAGTCAGCAGAGAAACTTCTCATATTTTTCCGAGCCGTGATAGGCTTCTCCTTTTGATTTAGTTTAAGCTTTAATTGTATAAAAAAAAGAAACAAACGAAAATGTGAAAAGCAGAACACAAGACTCCTACTTAGAGAAGAGGGTAGCGGTTGATTTTTTTTACTGTATACCGCACGCTCGAATCAAAGCCACAAATAAATAATTATCAATTGCGGGTGCTTAAAACTGTAAGTGCTGTCCAATGAAATTGGGCCAGTCGCACCCGTGGAAATTTTTGTAACTATTTTCACTCAGATCCAGTTGTAGGTTGCCAGTCCCTTGCGCGGGTAGCAGCGGATGATGCTCACGCCACGTGACACGTGTTAGAAACTTTTAACAAATTTTCGTTCTTGTGTAATAGGAAAAATGCGCAGAAATGAAAAAAATAAAAATAAAGGAAAACTGAAATTGCCTTTGGAAGAAGAAGAAGAAATCGAACGCAACGCACTTTTTTCCTTCTTTCGGTGTCAAAGCGCCAAAGAAGGAAATCGCCCATAGAGGAAAAACGGGAAAACAGAATGGTCAATAAAATTTGAGCTGAGGAAAATTTAATTTTCAAAATCGCATGGACTTGAAGAAGAGAACGCAAACAAGTTTTAGGGAAAGAAAACAAAACGAAAACTACATTACCAATTTTTGTTTCCAATGTTTTAAACCTAGAACAAAACATGAACATGAAGAAGAATAAGAAGCAGAAAACACACAGACACTCACCAACATTACAGAGGAAACAGATTTATTTTTTGTCCTTTCTGGAAATTGACGAATAAAAAATCAAATGCAGAATATGTGGTCGCGCTGTGGTTGTTCCGTTGTTGTAATCCGATCCGAAACTCCGGTAATCCATCTTCATATATAGCTGTTTGGTTTGGCTGCTGCGTTGGGATGGGACCATGCGGGAAAAGCGTACCGGCAGTAAGGGGCCTCCCTTAGCTCAGTCGGTAAAGGCGCAGCTACAAAGCAAGACCATGCTGGAGGTGGCTGGGTTCAATTCAGGGTCCGGTCTAGGAATTTTTCGGGTTGGAAAGTTTCTCGACTTCCCTGGGCATAATAGAAGTATGACACACAATTATACCAATGCAAAAATGGTACAGGCATCGAAAGCTCTCAATTAATAACTGTGGAAGTGCATCTAGAACACTAAGTTGAGAGCACGCAATAAGCTAATATGCGATATGCAATAAGCTTGAAATGCGAAGAAGAAGAAGAAGTAAGGGGTTTCCTTCGGTGGGTGGATAATGCATAGGTTCTGGTGGGGCAATAGTGCCACCTTAAAAATGTGAAAACGATTAATGCTTGTTTATAAACATAGCCTTAATTTGGTACAAACGAGCTTACCGAAGACTCTCTTGCTCCGTGTGAAGTTATTTTTTGACCAATTAATATAATCATCATAATAATCATTAATTGTGATGCTTCAATGCAGGCATTGTTGGTTGGTTGTTTTTGGATTTTCTAAAATCCTTATATTTCGATGTCTAATATAGGGGAAATTGATGTAATGTCGGCCTAAATGCCCCTAATTTGGGCCCATACATAAATTCAACAATCGACTGAATTTTCAATAGCGACCAAAAATATCCATTAGTTCCGGTCCAATGACGCGATCATCTAGGTAAAATTGATAAATAGCAAATTTTTAGCGATGGGCACGAAAATCATTTTTTGTACAAGGCTTCATTTTGAAATTTCTCCCTGGGCATTGGCAAAACCTTGTGGTAGTTTGATTAGACTACCAGGTTCCAGGGCTGATCTGGATCTTTACCTCATTGGAAAGATGCACACTAATGTTGCCAGATCAGTGATGATGTGGACCAAAACTGCAGGACCCAAGTGTTTAATCAATATTGGGTTCAGAGTTCGAAGAAGTCACGGATGCGGAGGTGAACGCGATTTTTTGACGTAGGACTACGTCTGTGATTTATATATGGGGGTACACTTTGTGAAAACCTAAAATGGAACATGTAACAAAATTATGAAAGGCAACTCATTTTCGCTTCGGACGGCGTGGTGAGCAGACAGCACAAGCAGCAATAGGAAGGTGGTGACAGGTTAGGTAGTCCACTCTTCTACCTAATAAGCAACAATGACTGGTCGTGGCAAAGGAGGAAAACAGGGGGTAAGTCACTCTGCCACCTTGTGCTAAACACATCAAAAACACTCTTCGACACACTCAAACACCCATTAATCACCATGAGAACAATTTTTCAATCTTTTTTGGCAGCACTGCCTAGAGCCAAGAATGTTTACATTCCTGATGCTCTTTTTTGTTTTTGTGCATTTTTCTTAGAGATCACCCTCCAGCAATCGGTAGGATTCCACAGAAATCTGATCGGGACACGGACTCCTGATTTCGTCGAACATCTGTCGGTATGCGGAATTTCGAGCTGTGGACCGAGTTGCGACGATCTGGAACGGGAGGATTATGACGGTTCCGTGTTCGAGGTCGGATGTGTTTACAAGTCGGGACGTGAATGTGGTGGACAAGCGACTGTTGATGAAGTTTCTGCAGAGTTGTGCAAGTTGGGAAGGGGAAGGAGAAGGGAGCGAGCATCAGGCAGCGGAAGTCGAGGGAAAGACGTTCCTGGAGTATTTGAAGAAACAAAAGTTGACCTCGAATTTGATCCATTACTTGTTGTACACAATCGCCATGGGGAATGACCACACTAGCTGCCGGGACGGGTTGGAAGGGGTGAAGAAGTTTCTGCTTAGTTTGGATCGTGCGGAAACAGCCCGTTTCTGTTTCCGATGTACGGATGCGGGGAGATTCCGCAGTGTTTCTGCCGGCTGTGCGCCGTTTTCGGAGGGGTTTATTGTCTGGGTAAGCCGATCGAGAGTATTAATTTAAAGCGAGATGAAAGGTGCCATCAATGGTTAAAGTTCGGCAAACAGATGATAGAGGCCAATGGGTTGGTCATAGGGCAGGGGTACGTTGAGAAGGAGATTTTCGGAGTAAAGGAAGGCTCGAGGGAAGAGAAGCGAAAGGAGCACTGTGGTCAAATGGCACGTGCTATATTTTTGACGAATGTTCCATTGGGTGGTGCATCGCAGAATTCCGGTGGAGGTGGCGTGTCGCTGATGAAACTGTCCCCCGTGGAAGCGCACGAAGATGGGGCTACCATTATCCAGTTGACACACTTTAGTGGAACTTGCCCGAAGGACATTTGTAAGTAATCAGGTCTGCCTAGGCGTGTGGACAATTTATAATTTATTTTGATTGTTTTCAAGATCTCATCACTCATCCACACTGATGCAATAGTTATTTTTTAAAGCACTTGGTAGCCTAAACACAAAACTGCTTTTAAAGTGAAATGTTCCGTTTTTCCGATATGGATACTCGAAATGCCTTACATCACCTTTAGGGTCTCTATTGCTGCAATGATGACTCCCACAATTGGGGATGATGATTCAACGTCAAGCTCAACATTATAAAAGCAGACCATTTCAGCCTCTAATGAGCTAAATTATCCGTAACTATATGAAGAAATGAGCGCATAATAATCATCCAGTCAATGATTGACCGATGGCTGTAGAAAGATATTCCTTACTAATTTGGTAGTCATTCCATATACGCACTACCAAATCAGAGAGATCCGGCCTACAGCCGGCGGTTAATTTTTGCAGGACGAGTCTAGGGGGCACGATAATGAAAGTTGATCGAATGGTTGCTGAGCAGATGTGGGCTATTTCATCGGATTATTCAGAATATGCTTTGTTCTTCCCGTTATGCCACTCAACAAGTTCATATATGGCTATCAAGACAGTTACGAAGAAAAAGCTGGTTATGTATATTTTGTGTGTATGCCAGAACTAGCGCTACTTGGAAAAAAAAAATCCATTCCCGTATTCGTGAACTACTATGAAATATGCACCGGTTCTCGTTCACTAAGTATATTAAGACATCAAACGACCAAATGCGTGCTTCGTGGGTGGCATAGTTGGAATCCTCCCGATCATATTCGCATCGATCCTTGCTCCATGTATTCTCACGAGGAGGTCACCACTCGTTCCGACCCATTCCGCCGGTAATGGGTTGTCGGCTGCAATATCCGATGTATTCTTTGATGGCCCGGTCATATCAAGGCAGGATCTAACGTCGCCAGGTAGTTAGTAGTCATGAAGGCAATTCTCCCCTCCGTCGATGCCACTCCGTTCGTTTAACAAACCACTAAACGATTCAAACCCTCGAATGCTGCCTTTTGCACGCGATAATAAAGCGGCGTCTGTGTTCTAAAAAAAGAAAATCTCAGTGACATTCACTACCCTTCTCGAAACGCTCCTATCCTACCTTCTTCCAATATTTTGAAGTATACGTTTTTGTCCCGTCCAAACACAGTCAGCTGTTCCGTTTACCACGGTATTCCCGCGTGCAAATCCAGTGTGTGTTGTTCTCTGGCTTGGTCCACCTTCATCCGTACCGCAGCACGTTCGGCAGGAGGAGTCTGAAAATTTATTGTTTATTGTTATCCTTTCTCCAATCAACAGCAAACACATCGCATTGGAATCAGCTGTGATAGATGTAGTGGTTGCCAGAAAACTTTATTTTTCACTCAACGTTTTGACAACTATGTTGACACGCTGAAACACCTTCTGACACCCAAAAACACCGAAGAAACACAATAAGCACGGACACAAGGTGGCAGAGTGACTTACCCCCTGGCGTCAGAGTACCCTTTCGAGTTGGCAAACCGAACCAATTATTCCTAATATTTCTTCGAGAGCGTTGTTTAAAGGCTTGGGCTTAAGTCGTGACTTCATTCGCGTGTCCTACTAGACATAGAATTAAGTGAAATTTGTTACAAACAAAGAATAATGAATTATCGGCTCCGTAAAGCTAACGCGATTGAGCCTTACAAATAAACGAACTAGATAAAAAAAAAATCAACCCTTTTCAGCGCCAACAAGCTTATTACAGTAAAGAGTTGGGGCATAATTTATCTGTGCCTGTTTGTCCATATTCAGATCCACACGCCTCCAACGACCACCCAAAATACTCTCCAGAGGTAATATTGTAACCAAACTTGGAAGCAAGAGTGCAAATGATTTTGAACGAAACTCTTCATCAACTTTCTCTTTGAAAAAAAAATACTACAAATTTGGTACGCCTACAATTCAAAAACGGAAAGAGTTAAAATAATAGATGATCGATCAATTAAAGGAACTAAATGGTCTTTACATTTGTTCCGTCCACTAGCGATCCTAAGCCAAGCTTCCGTTCGTGCCCCTAGGCACAGACCCTTCTACTTTTTTAACTTTATTTTTGAGATTTTTAGCCGTAGGCTAGTTCATCTCGTCCATGAAAGGTGGGGCCTCAGAAGGAGGACCCCCAACAGAGTAGTTTTTTACAGTGTTTACTTCAACCGAAAATTGGTTCCTGGCTCGATCGTACATTGACACAACATTAAAATCTGAATAAGACAGAGCTTCACACTGGGGGAACCGGGGGTGCCCCCACCAGGCAGAGATGTCCCAACAGCCGAAAGGAATTAAAAAAACTAAACTTTAAACAATGTAGCATCCTTTAAAAAGCGCATTACTGCTGCCAGTGTGGAGGGATCATCACCCAGCATGTCGCGTATGCTATTTGGAGGCCCGTGGAATTCCCGCAGGTTCTGATACTGGGGGCATACGTATAGAATGTGCTCGATTGAGGCTGGAGCTCTACAACCGACGCAAGTCCTGTGGAACGGCGTTCTACCGAAATTGTGCTAGATCTTGGTGTGACCGGTCCTCAAATGCTATCTTATGATCCCGCTGGTTCAACTGTTCTGTCCCTTTCCTTGTCGTCCCTTTGATCCATCTGATGAAGAGGGAGTGGTTTTGGGCCCACTCTGCGTCCAAAGCTTCCCGTACTTTGCTCACGATCCAGCACGAAGCAAAGTCAGCTTCAGATTTGCCTGGTATTTCGCAGTGCCCCGGAACCCACCAGAATACCGTGTTTGGTGGCACGGACTTCATCGTCGCCTCCTGTACCCAGGGATGAGTCGGGGCCTCGGATGTCGGGCGAATCCGTGAGGACCAGGATCGGTCGAGCGTTGTAGCAGCGATGGAGATGGCAGCAGCTTCAGCAGAGAAGACAGAACATTGCGGTGGTAAGCTGCAGCTGGTTGGTGTGATGTTTCCGGCTAGACCGATACCGACCCCGGCAGGTGAATGCGATGTTAAGATTCGGTTCGGACTCATCGTCATTCCCTGATGAGGAGATAAACACCTGCTAGGATTTTCCTCGGACTCATCGTCAGAAGTATAGAGGGCGGCGTCCTCAAGAGGGGCAACAACAACATTACGTTAAAGCCAGGCATCATAAACAATCAGGTAATTTCTTATTAATTTTACCTATATTTTACTTATATTCGAATTAATCCCCTTAAGTTTCAGCTATCTATGAATCGACACAGCTAATTTACTAATGTTGAGATGGGGTCTTGCCGATACGTTACCTGTTTAACCTGCTGGTAAACCTGTCTACTGGTATATAGCATGGACGGTGCCTCAAAGCATCGGAGACCTGGCCTTTGACCCCCTTCTACCTATACTACACAATCACTTCATTTTGGTCAGAAGTTTCATCATAAGTTCCATGGGTAAGCTAGCATTGATAGTGTGTTTAAGGCAGAATTAACGGAAGAAAGTAAAACATCCAAATTTAAATTCTGAGCGGAAACAATTCTGAAAATTTGGATCTTATTTTAAATGTGAATATTTAAGATATTTTATTTGTTAGTACAGTGACACGTCAGATAAATTTTCATGTAATATTCAAAATATAATTAATGAAAATAATTGGGTTCTTTAATCTTGAAAAAAAATGTCGGTTTTTATACATCATCTGAAAGAGCATCGTTTTCTGGGCACAACGATATTTTTTTCGAACCCATAGACTTTCATCTCGATTTTTAAATTAAGATTTAAAACAAAATATTAATTTCACTGTTTGACCAAAGAAGAATACTAAGATGGAACTGTCGAAAGAAAAACTTTATATTCTAGTGCCCTCTTTCACGGTCCTTTCCTTTCATCTAATAGAAGGTAATTTTGTAGTTATGCTGCCCCCTCGGTAGAAATGAAATTTCGCACTTTTTTTTATCAAAACAATCACACCAAAATCAGAGATGTCCCATTTTTTTAATTACTCGATTAACAACTAATCGATTATTTTTTGTTCACTGTGTTCTCATTTTTCCACCAAAGAGAGTGCAGCACACGTTTGAAACGATGGACGATGATCATCTGGAGAAGTTAATGCTTATATCTATCGGCAGAAGTGGGAACAATCGGACTGGACTCGAAATACTATTCGAACTACAATTGAAAGGATCGTCTTTATTTGTCAGTAGTATAATTTGAACTGAAGAAAATGTAGTTATGCTCTAAAAGCAAGGCATACTGCGTTGTATATACTCAACACTCCTCCTCAACGCTGCTACAGTAGACCACACTGCTTCCTTAGAAAATCCAACCGTATTCGTGGTAGAGGTTTGGTTAAAAGATCCGCGGCCATCTTTTCCTTAGGGCAGTACTCATACTTGATAACACCTTTCGTCTTCAGGTCCTTGGAGTAGTGAAATTTTGTTGAAATGTGTTTGGTACGCTTACTGAACTTTTCGGAGTCCAGCATCTTCAAACAGCTTTGGTTGTCTTCGAATAATATTGCTTCTGTTTTCTCCCCTAGGTACTTCAATAGTCTCTGCAGCCAAACCGCTTCTTGAGATGCTTCGGAAAGAGCCACGAATTCCGCCTCTGCTGTAGATAGTGAAACGCAGGATTGCTTTCGGCATGTCCATGCAATGGTTCCTCCGCAGTATTTGAATACATATCCACTATTGGACTTCCTGTCGTCGCGACATTCTGCCCAATCGGCATCAGCGTAACCCACCAGACCAGATGAATCACCACTGCTACTCAGTCGAAACTTCAGATCAATCGTCCCCTTCAGGTAGCGAACCATTCGCTTCAACTCGTTCCAGTCACGTTGGGTTGGGTAACTCACCTTACGACTCAAGATTGAGATTGCCGTTGCGATGTCAGGTCTGCTTGACTGCGATGTACAACAGCTGCCCAACTACCTTTTGATATTCTTGATTATTTGGGAGCTGGCCATCGTTATCTTCCGTCTTGATGTACCCAGGATCAATTGGCACGGTTGACACTTTCGCATCCTGTAGGCCAACAGAATAGATGACGTCTTCAATATATTTCCGCTGGTTGATAAGAAAATCTCCAGCATGGTCTCGATCGACTTCGATCCCGAGGTAAAACTTGACATCACCGAGGCAGCTGATCTGGAAATTTCTTGCAAGCGTTCGCTTCAATGCGTCGATCATGCGTTCATCCTCGCTCGCTACGATGAGATCATCCACATACACGAGAACATAGCACCACTTGCTAACAGCTCGCTTTCTGTACAGGCAGGGATCTGCGTCACATCGCTCAAAACCATCCGCTTCCATCACCTCATGCAGTCGCCGGTTCCAAGAACGAGCCGCTTGCTTGAGCCCGTACAAACTTTTCTTTAAATGGCATACCTTGTTTTCCATACCGCTGACGACATACTCGGGAGACTGCTTCATGTAGATCCATAACCTATCGGCAGAAGTGGGAACAATCGGACTGGACTCGAAATACTATTCGAACTACAATTGAAAGGAACGGCTTTATTTGCAGGCCAGTGACAAGGCCTATACCAACAGCAGCGTTTGACAGTAGGCAGCATGTCCCGGGCTCAAATAATTTATTTTGCTGTGCTGGGCCCGCTGTCACTGTATAACATGTTGCCTACGCGCCTAGTAGTATAATTTGAACTGAAGAAAATGTAGTTATGCTTTAAAAGCAAGGCATACTGCGTTGTATATACTCAACAATATCGGCATGATATAACCGATTACAAATATTTTACTTTTCAGTTCGTTAATCGATTAATCGATTATTCGAATAAAAATAGGCCATCACTAGATGAATGTGAACAGTCATTTCGACAGTGAGCATGCATAAGGGTGTATACGCGATGATCGATTCTCTTCATAAATTTTCTCTTTCCATTGCTACAGCTAAGCGAAACAATTTTCTAGAATTTGTTCAATGCAGAGTTGTAACAGGTTCTATTGGCTATCAAAAGCAACAGCAAACGCACCGAGAAACATTTATTTTTAGCGAGTTATTAACAAAAGAGGAAATCGACGAAGAGAATCGATCATCGCGTTTACGCCCTTATGAATGCTCACTGATTTCAAATATAAGGGCCGTTCATAAATAATTCAGTCCCAACATTTCATAGGGACGTAATAACATTTGTAAACAATGGCTTTAGCCGTCGATTTCTCACGAATAATAGCTCACTTATGAAAATTAACGGAACCAACAGCTAGATGAATATTTCTTCTACCAGCTAACATTGTTAATTTTGAGGGGTATGCTTTTATTGACGAGAAATCGACGACTAAAGCCAATGTTTACAAAAGCAATTACGCCCCTTTGAAATGTTGGCACTGAATTATACAATTCGAAAGAGACCGCGACTAATCACAAATTACGTCCCCACGGTAAGTCACCACCATCTTGCTGGAAATTTGCGCTTATGTTTCCCGTCCACAAAAAAGGAAGGAAACGAGCTGTGGATAATTATCGAGGAATTAAATCTTTAAGCGCCGTTTCGAAGCTATTCGAGTTAGTGATTAAGGAACCGTTACTGTCTCATTGCACCAATCTGCTGTGTCTCACATCGTATATAACCGAAAGCATGCCGGATCGGGTTCAAACGGACGTTATTTATTCAGACCTATCCGCGGCAGCATTCGACAAGTTGAACCATGCTATTGCGATTGCTAAACTCGGCAGGCTCGATGTATGCGGTAATCTTCTGAGTTGGTTTCGATCATATCTTACCGATCGCCAACTAAAGGTTGCCATAGGAGATTGCAGATCAGCTAGCTTCTTCGCCACATCAGGTATACCTCAGGGAAGCCACATGGGACCGTTAATTTTTATACTGTACTTCAACGACGTGCATCTGGTCATCGAAGCGCCTCGGTTAACATATGCAGATGACCTCAAAATCTTCCTACGAATCTGCTCCATTGCTGACTGTCACTTTCTTCAACGTCAGCTGAATGTATTCGCTAGAAATATTGCTGATTGCATCTAAAACTGGACTGTCCCAAAAATGCAAAAAGTGTGATAAAAGTGCACGTTTCCGTCAAATCGTTTTGATGTCTTCGGAGCACTTATTGCTTGCATCATAAGGAATAAGTGCACAGAAGACACCAAGACGATTAGACGTAAACTTGCAGTTTTATCACACTTTTTAATAAGTGAAAACGCGCTTATTAGTCCAATTTGGTGTGAAACGCGCAATACATAAACAAAAAAAATACAAAATGATACACTTTTTGCACACTGTCAAAGATCATTGCACACAAAATCAACTTTGTTCAAAACAAAACAAACATACTAGTCCATCTGGTGACTGATGGCACACGCTTCTAAGAAAATTATATTACAGCAATCCACATTATTTTAATTGATTTCTTCGCCAGTTAATCGTCTGTCACTTCGTTTGTAGTTCTGCGCTGCGCCTTAACAAAAATAAAAATAAAAGTTGAGCTGTATATTCTGGGGAAGATGATCCTGACGTGGAGTTGGAATCGACTACGCTGTTTGAGGCAAAATGCATAGTACGAACAGGTTTGAACCAGGTATAGTGTAAATGTGTAAATAACAGCGTTCGGATTGCGTCCATAGTAAAATACACTGTAAACCTTGTTTTCGTAATACATTCTATTCCTTCCTGTTAAATTATACCACTAACACATAAATTACATAGCACAATTATGCGCCCACCGTGGAAACGGTATCACATCCCTAATGTTATGAACATTCAACACCCAACAGAGGTACCGCTCCAGCCCGAGTCCGAAACCAGCGGTCGTGACAGAGCCAAATTTCCTAAGCTCCAGGTACCACCGGAGAGCTTCCTGATCCGGCAGTTTTGCTTGTAATTTTCCGTAATCATCTTCACGGACGCTTCCTCCCACCAGTTCTCCCACGTGCGGCACCAGAAAATCCAACGCATCGACGAGATTCGGTTCCGCACGATTCTCGCGCATGTAAAACGATTTTATTGCCTTGGGCCAGTCTATCACAAACACCGGACTTTGATAATGGCTCACTAGAAATAATTCCTGCTCCTTGTTGATGCCTTCTTCCGGCCGCACTGCAGACTTGAGCTTAGATTTGTTTCGCTCAAGAACCTCTATCGCTTCTGTAAACGATATCCTAGGGCATGGTTTGGTGAGCCACGAAAAGCTTTCGTCTAAGCTAACATCAGTGGTCAGCTTTCTCACGGCAGCCAAATCTTCCGCTGCAATATCCAGTAGAGCCTTGGTAACGTTTTTCACGATCGATTCAATTCTTGCCGTCAATGCTTCCAACGAGTCCATGAATGCTTCCTCCAGTTCAAGCATGTAGAATTCACTCAAATGAATTGGTGATTTGGAATTCTCCGCTCGAAACGTTGGACCGAAGGTGTACACCTTACCAAGCCCGTGACTCATTGCTTCCAGATGCAGTTGTCCGGAAACGGTTAGATAGGACTGTCGATCAAAGTATGCCCGATCTAGGGGGACATCCTTTTTGGCCATATGCTGCAGTAGCTCTCCGTTGGCTGGTCGAACCAGGAATGCTTCGCCTGCTCCTTCGCAATCGTTGGAGGTGATTATAGGAGTGTGAATCTGAACGAATCCTTCCCGGTCGAGATAGTCGTTGAAACATTTGGTCACGTGGTGCCGTACGCGTAGGGTCGATCCAAATGAAGGGGTTTGCGGTCTGAGGTGAAGGTGGTTGCGGATGTAGTCCGGTGAGTAGGTTTTCTTCGGATAGAAGGGATAGCCCTCGGAGAGGTGGCAACTGCCAAGTTCTTGGAAATGTTCGACTTTGAGTTCGAGTTGATTTTTCGGTGTTCGGCCGAGGGTGCCACTTGCGTCTACAGATGATCCATAGGCCGCTTCGTGGAGTAGAGTTTTACTGACCACCAGTTGTAGGTTGCCAGGGCAGGTACCATCGTTGACGTCAAGGAAAGCATTTTCCTTCAGTTTGCGAACGGATTTGATCCAGCCCTGGAAATGTGAAAACATGAGGTACATGGTAATAAGTGTGTATTTTTTCCTTTGTTCGGTGCATGTCGTATTACTCCATCATAATGGAAATAATTATGAAGTATTCGGTCTTGTTGGGCCCGCCTTACCTTAACTTTAATCTGGTCACCTTCTCGATGCTTCCCACTCGTCACGTCCTTGATGCTGGATAAATGGAAAATGCATCGCGATTGCTTCGTAGCGTATAATTTGTTACCAAATGCTAATCTTCCTAGTAAATGCCGTAACATTTTGGTTTATATATATATATTTTACTGCCTAAATTGTAACTTATTCAAATTATTACAAAACTGCTGCTTTTATTTTTTTTTTTTCTTCCTCTCTTTGGCGCAGACCTTTCGGTCCATTTCAGCCAAGTCTTGTTTTTGCATTCTGACAGCTTTAGTTGTCATTTACGTGAATTAATTGACGATCGAAAGAAATTTGAAAAATCTCTTATTTCAGTAGCGGGAATAGTATGTTGCTCAGCAAAGTTAAGTTTGTAAATATTCTTGTTTATCGCGCGATTTTATTTCAAACATTGACCTTTATCTCCCTTATAAATTCAGCTATCTGTTTAATTTGATCAATATTATTTTCAGCCAGGATAGGAGTAATATCAGTACTTTGAATCAAGATTGGATATTTTTGTCTTATTGCTTGAAATTTGGTGCAATGGTGTAAGACGTGTGGTAGGTTTTCTGTGACATCGCACTTTTCACATTTATCTGAATCAATCAACCTCCAACTGTATAGTCTGTCTTTGGTAGCAGTATGTCCTGTTCTAATCCTAGAAAGGATTATCGTCAGTTCTGTTGGTAAGTTCATGTTTTTGTACCATGGTTCTGATGTAGCATTTTGCTTTATTAGGAAGTGATATTTTCCTTTATCTTTTGATATGTTTTTGTAATCCTGATTCCATAAACAGTATGTTTCATTTTTTAAGCTTAATTGTAAGTCTCCTTTCGTTAAGTTTAGATCTTCTATTTTGGATCTATTTGCACCTAATTTTGCTGCTAAGTCAGCCCTATCGTTCCCTAAAAGTCCAATATGCCCCGGAATCCACTGAATTGTAATTTTTTCCTGTAGCGAGTTAATTTTATTAAATATTTCAAATACCAGGTAGTTTTCTTTTGAAGGTATATTTTTTAGTAACTCTGTAGCACTTTTTGAATCTGTAAATATAACTACCTTTTTTATATTCTTTTCAATAATATAATCTATAGCTTTGAGTATTGCTGTTAGTTCTGCATTCATGATTGAAAATTGACATTTTAATCTTCCACTATATGAGGTTTTTTCTTGACTATCGTAAAATCCATATCCCGTTCTTTCCTTCAACTTAGAGCCATCTGTGTATATATGATAGTATTGTGAATATTGTGATCTAATCAAATCAAGAACAATTTGTTTCTGAGTGCTGGTAGAGAGATTTTTTTTCTTAAGATTTTTAATCTCTGACCTAATTGTTAAATGAAAAGTTGATTCAAAAGAAGTAGGTTTCGCTAATTGTAATAAATGAAAATTATTTATGCTTGCCGTTCTTTCTAAGAAAGAGCTGTGTTTAGGTATATAATCAGAAAGTATGAATTTATAAAGAAAAGGTACTATTGGGCTATTTTCGTAGTAAATGTTTTTAGTAATTTCCTTAAAAGCTAAATATTCTGCTCTTGATTTTAGTGGTAGTTCGCCTGTTTCTGCTAGGATTACTTGATTTGGGGTGGATTTTAAATATCTCATAGCTGTTTTAATATATAGATGATGCACTGTTTCTAGTTTGGCGAATGTCGTTTTTGAAGTTCCTGCTGAAATGGTTAGTCCGTAATCTAGATGAGGCTGTACTATAGCCTTGGCTATTCTGAGAGCTGTTTCTGGGTGTGCTCCATTTTTTCTTTTTGCTATCATTTTTAGAATATTAATTTTCCGTTTTGCTTTTGATGCAGTTAATTCAATGTGTTTGTTATAGTTTAGTTTATGGTCTATGTAAATTCCTAAAAATTTATGAAATGGTTTTATTTCTAAAGGATGATTATTAATTGAAATATTTGTGGAAGGATGAAATTTATGAGTAAAGATTACTGTGGCACATTTATCTGGATTGATTACCATTTCTAGATCATTAAGAAATGAGACTGCTTGTATTAGGAACTCGTTCATTATTTCAGTTGCTTGTGTTAATGTTTTTGCTATAGCTATTGCTGTGAAATCATCTGCAAATTGAAAAAAAATTCTATCGCTTTTTGAAAGGCTATGTAAACCCATTGTATAAATATTGAAAAGGACTGGAGATAATGGACATCCTTGAGGTAGACCTCTATTAGCTAATCTTGTTATTTTAGTTCCATTTGCTATTTCTAATGTAATTTTCCTTTTTTTAAGGTATTGGTAAATCCAATTACTTATTGCAGGAGGTGTATTAATGTTATCTAATATAACTAGTAGTTTTTCAATATTTACGTTATCGAACGCTTTAGATAAATCTAAAAATGTAGCTATTACTACTTCTCCTTCCCTCTTAGCTTGTGTAATATGTGATATTAATGCATTGACACAGTTGATTGCAGATGTTTTTTGTTTGAATCCGAAAGAATAACTTGGTAAAAGACGATGTAATTCCAAGTATTCTGTTAAATGTTTTTTAACTATAAAATTAATGAGCTTTAATAAAACACAAAGCATGGCTATTGGTCTATAGGAATTGGCAATCATTGGATTTTTATTTTGTTTTAGTAATGGTATTATTTTTATTTCCCTCCAATCGTCTGGAATTAAACCTGTATTAAAAACTGTATTCAAAATTTCTATTATTTTGCACATCATTGTTGGATTTATATTTTTAAGTAAATAAAAAGAAAGACCATCTATTCCTGGTGCGGACGTATCTTTTTTTGAATGAATTAATTTGTTTATTTCTTGAAAGGTTATGTTAATAGTGTTGACATTTGATTTCCATTGATATTTCATTTCTTTTTCTATTTCAGGAAAATTCAAATCTACAAATTCGGAAGCAAGTTTTTGATCATTAAGCAGATGTATATTATTTTTAGAAGGTATCCCTCCACTGATTCTTTTTACAGTATTCCAAAGTTCTTTACAGTTCATATCTGGGTTAATTGTATTTATTAGATTATTCCAATCCTGTTTAGAAGCTTTTTTTATTAGCTGTTTTAGCTTTGCTTTTTCTTTTTTTAAATGCAGAAAATTTTCATGAGTTTGATTCCTAAAATATTTTATTAGATAATCATTTTTAACTTTTAATTGTACTTCAATTTCCTTGTTCCACCAAGATTTAGGCATGCGATTACTTTTTCCTATGTATTTTGAATTATCTATTTTTTCTTTAATGATTGGAAGAATATCGAATTGATCATGTATTGTTTCTATTTTAATTTGATTTATCTTTTCTATTGCTTTTTTCTTGTTCAAAAATTCTATTTTGTGGTCATATTTCTTAGCTGTATTTTGAAATTCAAATGTTATTATTCTGTGATTACTGCATATTTCATCAAACATTATATTCCATTCTATTTTGTGTGAAATTGTTGACGATGCAAAAGTTAAATCTATTGTAGAAGGTGTAGTCTCTGGTGGTTTAATTAATGTTGGAGAGCCGTCGTTTAAAATAACAAAATTTGTATTTTCAAATAATTTTTCGATGAGTTCACCTCTAGGACAATTATTTTGCTGTGGATTCCAAATCTGGTTATGAGCATTAAAATCTCCTGCAAATATTGTAGGTAAATTACTCTTTTCTATTATTTCAATAAGTTTTTTTAATGGTTCTTTAATTTCCTGATTCCTGATTGGAAGGGGAGGTATATATATTGAAATTATTAACAGTTTTTGTGAAGTGTTTAAAGTTTTAATGGCTATTATTTCTAATGGTGCTAGATTTGGTAAAGTAAATTTTGTATATGTAATTTGATTATGGATGAGTATTCCTACTCCCCCATAACCATTCGGTCTTAGTGATTTAACAAAATTAAATCCTTTGAATTTGTATTCTTCATTGGGTTTAATCCAAATTTCCTGTAAAAGAGCAATATCTATTTTATTTAAATAAAGGAAGTTTTTAAGTGTTTTACGTGTGTCTGATGGTCTAATACTAGTGATATTATGTTGCATAAATCTTAGATTCCTGAACCTATCCATGATGGGCCGGGGTGGTTAAGAATTTCTGTCATGACTTCCGGTTCAATAATCGATTTGATCTGATCGCTTATTTTAATTAGCAGTATGTCTGAGTCAATAGTATCTTTACTGTTCTTGGGGTTTTCTGTATGTTTGATTATTGTTTTTTGGATGGATGTAATCTTGTTCATGATTGTTGCTAGATCAAATTGTTTGATTAGTTGTTCTTTTACTTGCTGAACTATTTTTTGTACTGTATCGGGTTGCGTATTTGAATTCTGTGAAATTTGTGCATTTGGTCTGATTTTAGTGTTGTTTCCTTTGTTAGCGTCATTAGAAAGAAGAGGAGGAAAATCTGTCAGTGAGTTTAGTCTGTTCTGAGCTTGATTTGGTCTTGGGAATTTGTTGGCAGCTTCTGTAAAAGTTAGCTTCTCGTTAGCCATAACATAGCGGATTTTGTCTTGTCGAATTCTTTCAGGGCAGTTTTTATCTGTAACCTTGTGTGCTTGGTTGCAATGTATACATTGTGTAGTGTTTGGACAGATCTGATCTTCATGTTCAAGCCCACAGTTTTCACATCTTGCGTTCTTACTTTTACAAGCCGTTTTCCTGTGACCATATCTCCAGCATCTGTAACACATTTTGATAGGGAAAATATAATCTTCCACTTTTGCATTAACTCCGTAAATCGAAATAAATTCTGGAAGTTCCTGCCCGTTAACGTAAATTTTGATTGTGTATGTAGGAATCAGAATTCCATCTTTCATTCTGCTTATGCGTTCCACTTTTTCAACTTTCTTTTTACCTGCCTGAATGTTTTGTTCTATTTCCTTATCTGTTAGCGAGGGAGGGATGTTTCTTACTACTCCTATGGATTGTTTCAACATGTTTGGAACGTATACCTTGTAGTGGAATTCATCAACGAGAAGTTTTGAGTTAATCAAATCTTCCGCTTCTCTGGCTCGATTGAATGAAATTCGGTACCTTCCCTGTCCTGCAAACTTCAGTTCTTTGTAGTTTTTTATTCCGATATTGTGTAGTATCTTCGCAATTTCCATGACATGAATTGGTTTTTGATTTGGGTCCGTTCTTTCAATAAAAAACACCGTGTGTGTTGTGTTCTTAGTCCAGTTTTGTCTAGTTGAGTTCTTGTTTGTGTCACCTTTTTTCTTTTTGGATTCCTTTCCTGTATTCTCGTCATTCTTTTGTGTTAGGTTATGTTCCATTTCGTCGTCCATGTTCATGTTTTCGTCAGACATGTCTGAACCTGTTTCTTTTTTGCGTCTCATCTCGGTGTCAACTTTTGATGACTTTTTCACTTTACCCGAGTCGTCGTTGTCTTCTAACTTCCTCCTAGTTCCATAACGTTCAGATTGCGTAACTATGCCAAGCTTACCTGGAAGTGAGAATTGGTTTGGTACAAGCCAATCCTCAAATCCTCGAAATTCTGTTTCATTACCGCTCATTCACCAGAGCATACACACTTGTCTTACACCACTAGAGAAAAAAAAACTTAATAATAAACCTAACCTAACTTAATAAATATTTCTCTTTTAGATTTTTGAATTTAAAGATTGAAATAAGTCAACGGAAAAATACAAAAAATAAACGTATCGCGAAAACTTAACTTAACTATCTACACCATAAATATTTCCACCACTTTTACTTGAGAATTTTAAAATTTCCAAATTTTCAAAACCGCGTGTTCGCGAGCAAGCCAAAACAAGACGAGGAATTCACTTTCCGATGCGATTGCTTTGAACGATTGTGCGCGAATGTGCTGCTTTTATTATCTTTTTGTTTTGATTCCATTGACAGCCGGTGTCGGTTTGCGCTGGGACGGCTTGCGGACTCTGAGCGAAAGATTCCTATCCCTCTACGCTGCGGTAAAAAGAATGAAACCCCCGAACGAGTTACGTCATCTGTCAAAGGCGAAAAATGAGGCAGTCGTACTCGTAAACAATATTTTGCTTTTTCATAAAAATTTAAAAAATAAAGTTAAAAACAGCTAAGCCATCCTTTTCAACATGCTAAACATAATCACGCGAGGCATCTGCACGTCGGCCACTGTTGCCGGGAAACACAACTTCCGCAAGTTCCTGCTCTACAACAAACGGGGAACGCGTATTTTCAAAAAACTCCGGGCCGGCAACCCGGAACTGTATCCGGATATGCCAATCGATAAGCGAGGCGTGCGGGATACGGGAGTGACCCGCAACGGAAAGTACTACGAAATTGCCGAGAAGATCCCCGAGCTGATAGTGCCCAGTCTGGAGGGATGCAAGTTGCTGCCCTACGTCTCCTACCGAGCACCGGACGTAATTCAATCGGAATTCACGAGCCAGGATCTGTTCAATGCTGTTTACGCCCAGAAGGTGATTGATGATTTCAAAAGTGGCAATCTGAATGAGGATGGATCGCCGAAGGAGTGCTCGGAGGAAGAAAAGCTTAATCCGGATGAAGCTTGGATAAAGGCTAGAAAAACGGGATCGGACATGTTTTAACAAAAGGGTGTAACAACTATTTAGTATGTTTAATAAATTTATATTATAGATCTTATGCATTTTGTCTCATAAATAGTAGCTTGCGAATCCATCGGGACATCCGTTCGTCATCGTTTCCGAAAAACTAGAGAAAGAAAATGATAACTTGATTATAGAAAAATAAGCTTAAAACTAAAACTTATACTCACGTTTGGATGAAACAGGGGATCTTCCGTGTGTTCCTCTTCTGCCTTGGGAACCTTGATGGTTTGAGCAGCCAGGTCTATAACGATGTTACCACCAGCTAGATTCGTGGCAGGTTTCTTCGTCGACACAAAGCTCTGTGGAACAAACTCGTCCGCGTTCAATTTCGCCAGTAAGTCCGCTTTGCTATCCGGTTGAGGATCGAGATTCTCCTCCATCGATTTGAATACGAATTCTTGTTGCTTGCTCTGTTCGGCAGATTTCTTCGACTTTGAAGAATTGGAACTGTTGGACGAACTTGAACTTCCGGAGCTGTTATCACCGCTGCTGCTGGTGCTACTACTAGACGAATTGCTGGAGGCATCTCTCTTTTTCGAATACTTTTCCCTCGAACTAGAGCGCTTCCGTTGATGATCTCGTCTCTTTCGGTCAAGATCCTTGGAGCGACTTCTCCTTCGATAGTCACTGCCACCGCCACCGCTGGAGGACTTCTTGTGATGTTGATCACGGTGACCATGTCGGTGAGAGTGGTGACTTCCGCTTCTGGATGACGATGTCACGGTCGTTGTCGAACGAGATTTTGAGGAACGATCATCCGTACGGCGATACCGGTCGTAGTCACTGCGGCTGGAGGAATATTTTTTATCCCTTTCGCGTGATTTCGACCGCGAACGTCGACGCGGATGTTTTCTCGACCGTGACGGGGAACGAGAGTAAGAACGAGGCATTTCTAAATAGCAAAAGTTGAAAAGATTTCGTGTTGGATGTTATAAATTTTTAACAAAATACCTAGATAGTGGAATACCAACTTTTATAGACCTGATGCACTCACAGATTTTGTTTATGATGCTATTTTTACAAAAGGGTGTGTTTCTTTATACGGTTATGAATTTATACCGACTTACCTGACAGAAGTCGAACAAATTTGAAGATTTTTTTTCAAAAGGTAGGAATAATACTTCTTTTCACGGTCGATTGAAGCTCCTCAAAATGTAATTAATTATATGATTTTACGTAGCTATACTGAAGATCCGAGAGATGTCGCCCCTTCAGTGGTAGGAAAATCATTTTTGCAGTATGGAGAATATCAGAAAATCCACGATTTGTGACTAAACATGCTTTCACAGAAGGAAACAAATAAACGAGTGTTTACCTTTTCACCATAGTAATGTACTCGTGCAATTTTTGTGCATCTAAAACTGCCCATAAAGACGATAATGAATAAAAACTGAAAATTTCCATGCATTTCCAAATGGTTTCCTACCATTCCCATACATTCGAAAGTGACTGGCCCTCTGGATGTGGATGATGTGAAAAACAACAAAACATGATTAATTTAACTTTCCGCTAATCTCAGTTAACCCAAATATGGGTGAAGAATACCCATAATCGAGAAAAGTGCACGTACCCATTTTATGGGTAAATTCAATTTATTCGTATTTGTGTACATGCAATCTACGAATAATGTGAGTAAATGTTTACCTATTTATGGGTTATTGATTTTTGGTGAATTAAATTCATATTTGGGTGAATGTTTTTATTTTGGTTCTTTAATTTTGCAAAAAAAAGTAAGAGGTTTTATCAAAGACACGACCGTAGATTTGACGTAGGCTTCCATAATAAAAATTGTATGGTTAATTTGCTCAACGACGTGTTCTGGGTATCATCCAAACCATTTGTGGAATAGTTCAATGATTTGGGTAATCGTTCGTTTATGGTTATTTTTTATTAGGGTTACGTGCTCGGTATCAATATTCGGCTCTGTGTTAGGGAAACCACTTTTTTCCATCCGGTAATCGGTGACAATTTGTATCACCATTGCAACAGTAGGACATTTGTATAATTTTCAATAGTAACCTATTGGAAATTTAAATGGTGTTAATTTTAGCAGATTTGTAGAAAAAATTCCAATCAATTGGCTTGTATAGAATTAAAATCCATTCGCTATTGGCAGAGTTATCAGTGGTCAAAACCTGACCACTTTTCGTACCGTGGTCGATGTTGGTTTTTTTGAAATTGCATCCCTAAAATGTTGTTGAAAGACGTAGGGGAAGGAGGGGCATAGTGAGCATCCCGCACTTTGGCTCTGGATTTCCAGCTGCATGAAACAAATCAACTGGTAATAGGTTCAATATCATTATGATATTGATCCTACAGCCAACCAATTTGTTCCAAACGGCCGGAAATCCAAGCTGGTGCATGGGATGCTCACTATGCCCCACCTGTTCACTATTCCCTTCTTACATCTATACGTCAAAATATTGGTTTTTATCTGGGGGTAAGTCAATTTGCCACATTGTGCTAACACACCCACAGAAACAAACACCAAAATACACCCTTCCACCGCATAAAGGCTTGTATTATTTGTGAAAAACGGTATTGGCAATCACTTCGCTTTGAACTGTAAACAGATACGATCCAGCGAAATCAAATTTTGTGGATCGCACATTTTTCGCTTACGTTTACTTTTTTCACACATGCATGCAGTTCTCGCGAAAAAAGCAGCAGCTAAACGAAAAGTTAACGTTTCGTGAAAGAGCGAATCTGTTAGATTTTCACTTCACCGGAGGTGTAAACTGATCCATGTCGTTTCACATGAACTGTAAACTGCGAAAAAAGAAACTGGAAAATGTTCCAGAAACATTTTTTCACAACCTTTTTCGCTAGCAAAATTTTATGATTTTTCGCGTGCTTCATCGTTTTGCTTCGATCTGTATACTAGGCTAAAGCAAATTTTTTAATCAATTCTGGCGCCATTGTTTACATGGTTACATGTTTACAACGTTGATCGGATTCATTCCGATGTTGTTCATTTGTTAACTTGTCATTCCCAACACAGTTTACCAATTTTTGGTTTAGTTTTGACCGATCTGCAATCTACCCAAATTTGGGTAGTATTAAAATAGAGTGAAGGAAGATTGTAGCAGGGTTTCCGTTATTATACCGACAGTTGACAGCGGTGTGACGCAAAACACCACTGCCGCGGACTAGTCGACATAATACTCGAGAGCGAAAGATCGATGCGACGAGTACGTAAGAAAATTTTCAACAGTGAACAACGTCGGACACGCGATAATTCGTTGTGGTGAAAATTGCAGAAAATCGAAGTGAAAATGTGCATAAACTGATTAAAAACTAGTGCAAAACGTCACTCAGAGTAGGTAAGATAATTTTGGGATAAATTTTCCCGGTTTCAAGTGTTATCCTAGCAATAAAATGCAAAAATATTTTGCTCCAATCCGACCGTGACTCATTTTTCCATTATGTCGGACAGCAAAAGATGGCGGAGCGCTAGATCGGCTTCTGTGATGAGCTGATGGCGCTGCCATGAACCTTTTTTTTTTTTGCTCGCTTTGTTGCTGTTGAGTGTTTTCAAGGTGTTGTGTGTTTGCGTTCGTTTGCCTCGTAAGCTATTTTTTTATTGTTGTGAGCAGCTGTTTCCATGTTGTACGTTTGGGTTACTGAAACAATACTGCTGATGCTGAAATATTTACAAAAAAGTTGCTTATGTGGCAGTTTCTTTCGACATGTTATTTTTTCTCGCGTTAATAAATAGTAGGTACTTACATACGAAATAGCGGAGTTCAAGGTCAAATTGTTATCTAGACAGTTTGTCTATGCGTAGATTTCGTGGCTTAGTTTTTCTAATGATTGTATTTTATTTCTCGTTTCAGCTTCGTTGTGAAAGCAATTCATCGAATCAGTGTTGATTGATTTGTATAAATAAGTTCTTGGAAGCAGAAAACACAATCAAAAGTAGTGAGAAGAAGAGTGTTAGGTGTGACCGCCCGCGGGGTAATTCCCACTAGGTGCGGCACTAAAGTGTGTTATTCCCAAGTTGGATTTGAAATAGTGGCATTCCCCTAGTGTAGTTGGTGTTGTGAAAAGTATCAGGAGAAGAACGTCTTAAGCGACGGAAGTGCAACCATGGCGGCCACGCTCGACCAGGCAGTCGTGGATAGACGGGCAAGGGAGATCGAAACAGAATATATGTCCTCTCTTGCCGATTTGAATGTCAACAGTAAGCCGCTGATCAACATGTTGACGATCTTGGCCGAGGAGAACCTGGATTACGCTCCCATAATCGTGAATGCCGTCGAGAAGCATCTCGCCAAGGTTTATATATTATAAGACTAGATTAAATTATGTTTCAAATATTTCCGTTACAATTCATACTTGTCAATAGCCACTTGTAGTCAACGGGAAACAAGTAATTTGATTGTTTGATTAGATAGTGTTGCACACTACTGCGTAAAAGTCGCGAACAAGGCGAATGTTGGTGTGTTGTGAACAGGTTGTACTGCTTATGTAATTGTGATCGTTTGTATTCCGAGCGAGTCCAACTGGGTGATTTCACGGAACGAATACCTCATTAGTTGTCAACTGGAGAATACTCAGTCAAAGAGAAATTAAACCGCAACTCTAATTGTACCATTGCGCTTTCACTTTGCACAAATTACAGCGATAATATGAAAAGGAAACTTTAAAGATAGAGCGCTGGTAATACTGGGGAAACTTGATTATATTTGAATGCTGTCGTTTTTTGATCTAGAAATATTCATCTAAAGTTTACTTAAAAATTCGCCATTAAATTTTATAATTATTAAAATTACAACTCCAATTTTGGCAACAAGATTGAAAATATGGTGTTGCCAAAAAGAAGAGACCCGTAACAAAATCGGACGATTCTTTTTTTCAATTGAATATTTTTGTTTGTGTGCGCTTCAATAATTGATAATTAGATTGAAAGTTTCTCTAACGCAATGCTTTACTTAGGTGTGAAATATCACTTAACTCTTTGTTTTTGTTTTCTTCTGTCCAATTAATGGTATTTGTCAGATTTTGTTTCCACCATCTGAGTGCTCCAAATCGCTGGCAAACAACTCTAAAACTAACAATGTCTGTCATTGTATTCTTTAAGCAGCTCTTCGTGGGCTTTTGGGACACCTTCAAGATACACACAACTTAAATTAGCTATATGTCGAAGACATCATGATTTGTTGTCTTCGCTAATACCCTGTGCAGAATGGCTTATCATGTAATATAGGCTGTCTTGCAATGAGCACTCAAGCTAGATACACTTAATCTAGCTCGGTAAAATCTCCAACAGCTGACAACCTCGGCATTTACTTCTGCTGATATCTCTGCAAAATATCTGTTTGTTAGCTGATATCTCAGCAAAATGTTATTTGTTAGCTGAGTCTCGGCAATTGTTGAACAGAATCTCAGCAAAATAAATTGCAGAATTATTCGGCTGTTGGAATCTCGGCGGAAATTTTTAAGTGTGTATGAGTGCTCATTGCAAGACAGCCTATATTACATGATATATTATATTATATATATATATTATATTATATTATATACCGTGACCGCCCCTTATTGTGCGCAGTTCCTAATTGTGCGCATTTCAAGCATTCCTTCTACATTTTACGAACATTACTCATTGTTATCCCCACAATATTATTTTTCATTGAAGCACTGTTGAATAACATATCTGAATTCACAATAATATTTGCATTTTACAGAAATTAAGTGAACAAAATTAAAAAAAAAAAACACAATCTACAACGCTGAAAACGTTAAAAAATCAGCTTCGTTAGCTTGAACGTTTGCACCGCGTTCGAAGTGTTGTTTTAAATTTCGAAGTGAAACCCAGTAAAAGAATTGGAATATTTACCGTAGTTGGTAAGATATATTTGCATTAATCGTATCCTACTCAAAAACTAGCGGTTACATATATAATTTTTGTGCAAAATTACGATTTACTATTGCGCAGAATTAGGCACCATTGTTTTTATTTATGTTCCTAATCATGCGCAGAGTCCTCCAAGATGAATCGTGGCCGGAAGAATGTGCAGTACAACCAAAATCACATGGTTCTGGCCATGGATATGGTCAGAAGAGGATTTTCGGTTCGTCGAGCCGCAAAAGTCCATGGAATCCCTGAGAGCACTCTTCGTAAAAAAAATTGCCCTTGGTACTTCGGAAGTAATGCGTCCAGGAAGACCAACCGTTTTAAATAAGCAAGAGGAGGACCGCATCATCCAGTGGATAATCGAGATGGCTTGGGCTGGCTTCCCGGTGGACTCCCATAGCCTGAAAACGTCGGTCGCATATTACTTTAAATCCACAGGAAATTCAAGTTTCCATAAAACGCATGCTCCTGGTCGAAAATGGTTAACACTATTTTTGAAACGGCATCCCAACATTTCCTGAAGAATCCCAGGTGCTCTTTCGAAACAGCGGACGTATGTCACTGAAGGTAAAATTAGGAGCTGGTTTGAAGAAGTCGACCGGCATATTGAACAAGCTAGCTTGAAAGATGCCATGAAGCATCCGACCCGAATTTTCAATATGGATGAAACGTCAATTCGACTTGTGCCCACAAAAGAATCTGTAAAATTCTTCAATATAAAGTGTAATTACATTTTGTTTTCCTTTTAGATGCAATAACCATTATATTCCAACAATTTATTGCTATTTTTTAGCTGCGCACAATTAGGAACAAATGTGCGCACAATTAGGAACATGGGCAATAAAGTGCGCATAATTAGGCACCCAACATCGCTGTATAAAATGATCGCTTTTGACACAATGATCGGTTTACCTATAATATTAATATATTGTTTCGATTGTTATAGGTATTATCAATACATTCTACTAAATAATTAATTTAAATGTCATTTTAAAATGTCTAATGTAATGTTTAAATCTCAAAAACATCTTAACTGCGCACAATATGGTACCTTCACGGTATATATATATATATATATATATATTATATTATAAGTCATAGTCTCTACGGGGTATAAGATTAATCTAGAAAGAGTTTGCCACATTTTGGATTGTTTGACAATCCAAGCGTAAGCATGGTGGAAAGTTTGCAGGTTCCCAATACGTTCGATTCGAGCAAGGAAAGAACCTTAGGGAGCACGCATTAAGTAAACTATGTTACGCGACCTTGAGGTAAAATCAATTCCTTCTCCCTCTTTCGTCACGATTTTCCTATACCTAATGCATTGATTGTCACACATTTGTAAACCCTCCTCTCCCTCCCCCCTTTATAGCGTGACGTACTTAATGGATGCTCCCTTATTGTTCTTTAGAAACCTTTTTCTAGAAGCAGCACTCAGCGCCGCTGGGAACCTGGGAAGTAGCTCTGATTCATCAGCATTATAGATTTGATACGCTCGATATACACCTCTTTTAATAGTTCCACTCTTACAAAGCGAAGCTTACCGCTAAGGAAATAAAAATAATTCTGTGACACTACCCCGAACGCCGTAACCCCGAACGCCGTTACCCCGAATGCCACTACCCCGAATGGCCATTACCCCGAAATTAAGACAAATGGAAGAACAGCATGTGATCAAAAGATGGGTAAATTTTTTAGAAGTAAATTTTCTTTTGTAGTTTAAACTAAATACAAATGATAAAAATAACAATTTAAAATTGATTCATGCAAATCAGTGATGCAAAAGTTCACTATGATTCGCGAGCTTTTTCCTAGGTTAAATCTCTATTGAAAGTATGCCAGTTGGGCAGGAATGTCAGTAAGGCTTGAGCGTCAGTTTAGCTATTTATCAAATGTTGTAGTGAATGTGTGTAGTATTATTTATGTAATTTTTGAATCTGGAAGAGATTTAGTATAACCAAATGTATTTTATACCAAATGAAAATTTTATAACATTCCCCAGAAAAGCATTCCCCTGAATGTACCATTCTCCAGAAAAGTATGCCATGTATTATTGACGATTTTAGTTTATTATAGTCACTCCAAGAATCTCCTTTCGCGTATATAAAAAGAAGAGAAAAACTTCTTAATGGGTCAGGGGTTTGAGGAGACCTTAATGAATCAAGGGGTTCTCCCTTCTTTAAAAATATAAGAAAAGGAAATAATTTTTTTTTTTTTTTTGGAAATACGATAAACAAGGGAATGTTCGCTTCTTTGATCATATATAAAAGAGAACATCATTAATTCGATAAATATATAATAAAGAAGGGAATATTCCTTTCTTTGAAAATATAACAAAAGAAAACAATTAATTCTTTGAATATACGATAAAGAAGGGAATATTGAATATAAAAAGAGAACATCAGTAATTCTATGGATAAACGATAAAGAAGTGAATATATCTTTCTTTGAATATATAAAAGAGAAAATAAGTAATTCTTTGGATGTATGATAAAGCAGGGAATATTCCCTTAGTCAATACATGGCATACTTTTCTGGGGAATGGTGCATTCTGGGAAATGGAATTCTAGGGAATGATTTTCGGGGGAATGGTTTTCTGGTTTTAGAATCCAAATGACCATTATGTCAAAAGACCATTATGCTACGTTATGTTAAGCCAAGTGGATTTATGCCAAAGGCGTTCCCCCATTAATTGTTAAACCGGCCCTGATTGGATGATCTTCTGTAAAATGTTTTCTTAGTATCGTATTGACTAACTCCGATATCAACATCAAACCAGTTTGACGTTCAAAAAAAAAACAACGTCTAACACTTGGACTTTTTGACGGGAATCACCCTGTTGTTAATTAATACATAGGTTTAACTTTTTGTTCTATTTCCAATATAGTACCAGTGTTTAACCAACAAAAGACAATTAGTAAAATAAACAGCTTTTGGAAATGAATTCGGGGTAATGGTCATTCGGGGTAGAGTACTATTCGGGGTAACGGCGTTCGGGGTAACGGCGTTCGGGGTTATGGCGTTCGGGGTAGTGTCATAGAATCAATAAAAATAGAATGTTGGCACGTTTTGATTTTTCTAAAAACATTGGAACATCAGAATTCCAAGAAAGTTCCAAGTTTTTTCTGTGATTCTTATGAAAATTTACAAAATGGTGAGGTTTGTTTTGCGGTATTTTATACCTTACTTTTTATGTCAAACAAAAAAAAGTTAACATAACTTATTCAGAATGGTCATGGAAATATCCTCTCCTTAAACTTAAACCAGAACATTTTCTTGGAACTTTCCTAAGAATTCCCTTGAATGCCTTCTTAAAATTAAATGACCTTGAAGATTTTCTGAAAATTTTCTTTGAACTCTAAAATCTTCTCTGAAATCCCCTGGAATTTTCTTCTGAATTTTCATGAAACTTTCCCAAGAA